CCGCTGTGTCGCTGTGCGCGCAGCCGCAGAGGAAACAGTGCTTGTGTTTGTGTGTGCGTGTTGCGGGACAGCCGAAAGCACTGCCCACGCCCTGCAGCCCGCTCAGCACCTGTCCCGCCGCATTTTGCCGCCTGGGATGCCGCTAGTTGCCCTGCTGCACCAGGACATCGTTGCCTCGGCTCGCCTTTCTCTGTTGTATTTCCCTTTCGCGCACTGCAGCCGCTGCCAGGAGTGCAGCACCGGCTGGCCGCCCCGGTCGCTCCGCAGCGGGCCCCGCCGCGTGAGCGCTCTCCATCCTCCCCCCCGCCCGCGTCCGTGTCCTCCCCTTCTTTTCCCACTCTTGCTGCCGGTCAATTCGCGATGCCGTTGCCCGGCTTGCCCGAACGAGTGTGCGGACTGTCCCTGCCGCGCTGCGACGGAAAAAGTGTGCGTTGCGGGTCGTGCTAACCCAGTGGTCGGTTTCGCCCGACTTTTCTGGGGATCGCAGCTTCGTTTGCGCTCCCACACACGGTGGCCAATGCATTTCGGGCGTAGCCCGCCTTTGTAGCGCTTTGCCAACCGACTGCAGCGCATCGGCGCCCCCGCGGAAAGCGTATGCGCGCGGGGGGGGGTCCCATTTTCTTCGTGCGATTCTTGAGGGAGCTCGTGGCCGCCAGCGCCGTTCAAGAATACGTTCACCATCTGAGGCGCGCCTCCTCCTCCTTCTCCTCCTCCTCCTGCTCCTCCTCCTCCTCCTCCTCCTCCTCCTCCTCCTCCTCCTTCTCCCCCTCGTCCTCCTCCTCCTCCTCCTCCTCCTCCTCCTCCTCCTCCTCCTCCTCCTCCTCCTCCTCCCCCTCCTCCTCCTCCTCCTCCACTCCTCCTCCTCCCCTCCTCCTCCTCCTCTCCTCCCTCCTCCTCCTCCTCCTCCTCCCTCCTCCTCCTCCTCCTCCTCCTCCTCCTCCTCCTCCTCCTCCTCCTCCTCCTCCTCCTCCCCTCCTCCTCCTCCTCCTTCTCCCCCCCTCCTCCTCCTCCTCCTCCTCTCCTCCTCCTCCTCTCTCTCCTCCTCCTCCTCCTCCTCCTCCTCCTCCTCCTCCTCCTCCCTCTCCTCCTCCTCCTCCTCCTCCTCCTCCTCCTCCTCCTCCTCCTCCTCCTCCACATGAGCTACTTGTGTAGGCGCAGTCTGCCACCGCGCGGCCCGCCACAGTCCCGACCGCGCCGAGCCCCCAGGCGCTGCAATCCAAACAAAAGTGTCCCCAGCTCCACCTTCCTGGGGCGCCCCCCCACGGCAACGGTTCTGCTTCCGAAAAATGGAGAGGATGAGGAGGAGGAGACAGAGAAACATAAGGAAATATGATGATGATGATGATGATGATGATGATGATGATGATGATGATGATGATGATGATGATGATGATGATGATGATGATGATGATGATGATGATGATGATGATGATGATGATGATGATGATGATGATGATGATGATGAGGATGAGGATGAGGATGAGGATGAGGATGAGGATGAGGATGAGGATGAGGATGAGGAGATCGAGGATCCCCCCTGTTTCTCCTCATCCTCCTCCTCCTCTTCTTCCTCCTCCTCCTCCTCTTCCTCCTTTTCCGCCGCCCGATCGCCGCCCCAGGAGCGGAGGAGCCTCTAGGGCCCGATGCGTTTGAAGAGTGGGACGGGAACGACTCCGGCAACGAGGCGCGTGGCGGCGCGCGCGCGGCTCTCCAGGCCGCCTGCCGCCTCTTCTCTGACCAGGAGATTCCAGCGCAGTCTTACCAGGCATGGGGGGGGGCACGGCCTAGGATACACACGCCCCGGTCTTTGAGAGCAGGTATTTGAGGATCCCCAGATCCCACATGTATATATATATATATATATATATATATATATGTACACACATATATGGTCGAATCTTGCGTGTAAATGCAGAATCGCTGGAGACAGAGCAGCCGCCATTGAATTGCTTGCACTTCTTTTCCGTACTATAGCCGTCCCGGCTCACGGATGGGGACCCTGGCGGCGCTCGCGCTTGCCGGGGGATTCGGAGCTGAGCTGGGGCGGTGGGCGGGCTCGAGCTGGCTGCTGAACGCTGCCCGCTGTGAGCCAGGGCCCGCCTGCCCGCCGTGCCCGGCCTGCCCGATCTTCGAGCGCCCCGCCATACCGCCCTTCGAGTGCCCAGCGATCCCCGCCTGCCTGGGAGCGCCGGCGCCCGCGCCGCCGCGGGCTTCGGTGGAGTGCGAGGCGGGGCGCTGGAGCGGCGCCGCGGTGGCGGCCGTGGGCGTCGGCTGCTTCTCGATCGGGCTCCTGCTGGCGCTGGTGGGGCTGCTCCTGGGCAGGCGCGGAAATGGCGCTGCCGCGGCCGGCGCCGGAGACGTGCGCGTGCGAGCTCTACTCGGGCCTCCCAAGGCTATGGCACCAGCGACGCCCACAGGGGCACGTCGCGGGGTCGTTGGGGACCTCTGAGTTCGTGATCGTGACGCCCGATGACGACGTGAGCCTCGAAGACTGCGGCAAGCGGGCCGTCGACGTCACGGCGATCCGAGAGTCCAGCGCGTTCGGGCCGCAGACGCCTGGTGTCCCGCGGGCTAGCGTGGGCCGCTTCGCCGCGGAGGCAGCCGGGGCAGCGATGGCGGGGATGATAGCCGAGGCGACGGTGGTGGGCCGCCGGCACTACTACGCGATGGAGCTGGCCGCTGGACGTCCACCCACCAGGAGGCGTGCTCGAGGCGATCGGGGCCGGGCCTCCGGGTCGCGGGGGCGGCTTTGCGGCCACTGGCGACGCCCCCTCCCCGTCGCCCGGCGCGGCCGCGCCAGGAGCCGCCCCCGCCCCTGCAGCGCCGGCGGCGGGGACGCCGGCGCCGGCAGCCGCGGGCAGGGTCGCCGTGCCCGACGACGCGGGCCCTGGGGCGCCGACGACTGGTGCGGCGCCAGCGGGGTATCTCTGGCGGGCCGCAGAGGACGCAGGCGACGGGAACGTCAAGTTCGGCGACGAGCAGCTCATCGGCTCTGCCGGAGGGCGGACGTTCATGGGGCACTGGGGCCGGTGTGGCGTGGCGGGCCTCGCGTGGGGCTGCTTCCTGGCGGTCGTGCTCCTGCGGCCCAGTGCGGAGGGCGTGATCGGGCAGGAGTGCCGTGGCTCGGACGCCCGAGCGCTGTCGGTGCTGATGACGACGGTCGGGCGCAGCCACGAGCGGCGGTCGCTCGTGTCCGACTGCCAAGGGGAGGTGCTGCCAGACTTCCTCGTCGGCTGGCCCCGCGCGGTGAAGCGGGGCGTGGAGTACCGACAGCGCGATGGTGGAGCCGCGCTGCATCCTGGGAAGTGGCGCAGCAGGAATCGGCTCCAGTCCACCGCTCACGGGGTCAACCTCCACGGGACCTTGTCGAAGGTGGAGGACGCGCTGGGGACTCAGGATCAGGGGGGCCGGTTCAGCCTGGCAGTGGTCGAGCTGGCCTACCGCAAGTTGCAGCTGGGGGAGCACTACCAAGACGTGAGGACGGCCGAGGCGGCGCTGGGGGACATGCGAGTCCCGACGGAGGAGGCGCTGTCCTGCATGAGCCTCGGCCGCAGCGCGCCGAAGGTGCGCCCGGCCCTTCTCGACACGGTCGACCGCGAGATCGAGATGTTGGCCACCATTCGGAAGAACGCTCGCCAGCTCAGAGAAGAAGCCAGCAGCCGTCCGATCGGCGGCAAACCAGAGGGGCAGGGGTGAGCTGGCGCGACGGGGCGCAGGCGGCCCCCGGCCCGCGCCCCGATGAGCGTTCAGAGGGAGAGGCTGCTGAGGAGAGGTGGCGGGGCTTGCTGCCGCTGCCGCTGCCGGAGGCGCCGAGTTTTGACCAGGCCGCTGGGCTGCTGGGAGGGGCTGGTCGATCCAGCCGACGCCGTCAGGGAGCCAGGCGGCATCAGCACCAGCTCATGTGCGAACTGGCGACCGCGCTGAACTAGCTGGATGCCGGAAAGGATGCGCCCCGCGTCCCAGCGGGCGGGGGGCCATCGCTCGCGCAGCAGCTGGCCATGGAGCGCTTTGCACACGCCTGTGCGGCCATGGGGTCGCCAGGCGATCTCACGCCTCAGGCAGCCCTGCGGGAGCTCCGAGGCTCGGGCGGCCACGGGGGCTGCGAGCCCGTCAGCCTGGCCCCGCTGAGCGTGGCCCGCTGCCAGCCGCCGGCGCGCAGCCGCGCCCCTTGGCGGCCCTGCTGGGCCGAGACGGGAAGCAGAGACTCAGCCAGTTTTTCGAGTCCAAAGTCTTGTCTAAGCACGTGGCCGAGGCACGGCGGGCGGAGGGCGGTTTCAAGCGAGCCTACCTGGACCCCCTCTTGCGCAGGCCGGGCAAGTGCGCGGAGTTCCTGTCGCGTCTCAGCTCGGCGAGGGGGTGGAGGTGGGCTTCTTCGCAGCGGAGAAGAAGAATGGGCGCCAGCGATTGATAATCGACGCTCGTTCAAGCAATTATCACTTTTCAGAGCCAGATGGGGTGGCTCTCGCTACGGGCGCAGCCTTCAGCAGCATCGAGCTGGGGGACGGGTCCAACCTTTTTGTCTCGGCCGTTGACATCCAGGACGCCTCTTACCAGCTGGGGCTGCCGCCAGAGTTGCGCAAGTACTTCCACCTTCGCCGAGTCCAGCGACAGCGGCTACGCGAGGCCGGAGTGGCGGCGCAGGGCAGCGGGGCCTGGGTGCGGCCGCGGGTGGCCGCGCTACCGCTGGGCTGGGCCCGCGCCCTGGCCCTGCGCCAGCGGATCCACGAGAGTGCGCTGGAGGGGGAGGGCGGGCTGGACCCCAGGCTCAGGGTCGCCGACGGCCGCGTGCTGCCGCCGCTGCGCGAGGGGCTGCACGCTGCCTACGTGGGCAACTTCCTGGGGTTCGGCGATTCCGCTGAGCGGGCCGACGCACAACTGCAGGCCGTCAGCGGGGGCTGGCCGCCCGAGGCCTGAGGCTCCACGAGCCCGAGCAGGCCGCGGTGGAGCGCGAGTAGCTCGGCTGGCGCTTCGACGGGTGTGGGGGCGTGCTTCGCCCGAAGATGGCGCGCCTCTGGCGCCTGCGGCTGGCTGGGAACGCTCGAGCTCACCCGAGTCGGGTTCGCCAGCGGGCGGCAGGTCGAGCGGATAGTGGGCCATTTCACGTTTGCTGGCTTGGCACGTAGGCCGGCCCTTTCAGTGTTTCGCGCCGTCTACACCTTCGGTGCTCGTCACCGAAACCAGCAGCGTCGTCTTCCAGCATCCGTCGCGCGGGAACTTCGATGGGCTGTCGCCCCCTTGCCTCTGATTAGTGCCGACCTCCGCGCTCCGTGGTTTGGGGGGCTCTACTGCTGCGATGCGTCGGAGGAGGGCCGAGGGGTCGTCGAGAGGGACTCCGACTCGGAGAAGGTGGCAGAGGTCGGGAGGCGGCAGGAGAGGTGGAGGCACAGGCAGCTCGAGGGAGGTACTCCAGCGAGGCCACGCGAGGTGCTCGAGGAGGTCGTCGGGGAGAAGGTCGAGCCCGAGCGGTTCGAGGATGTGCCGATCGACATGGTGAGGGGGGAATGGAGAGTGGCGTCGAGTGGAGGCTGGGAGCGGAGCGAGAGCATCGCCACCCTCGAGGGCCGTTCACTCGTGCATGCGCTTCGCTATGACCTTCGAGACTCTCATGCCGTGGGACGTCGCATCCTCCTTCTGACTGACAGTATGACGGCCACTCTGGCTCTGGGCAAGGGTCGCTCTTCCGCTCCGGGCATGATGCGCGTGGCGCGTCAGTTCGCCGCCTGGTGCCTGGCGGGAGGCGTGGTGGCCAGCGTCCGGTGGCTTCCCTCTGAGCGGAACCACGCCGATGCTCCGTCGCGCCAGCGGATGCCCATCGGGGTGCGGCTCCACTTCGACGGCCGCGATCACCATCGCGCTGACGGTCAGCCCGCGGCTTGGCCGGTCCACGCGGGCAGGGGCTCCGACAGGGCCGCCGATGGCAGGCTCGCCGCCCGTGAGCTCGCGGAGCTCGCCGCCCGGGAGGGAGCCTCCGCCCGCTGGGTTGGCTACCGGCGGCCCTGGCGGCAGGCGGGCCCAGGAGGCCGGGCGCGGCCCGGCCCTCGCCCGCGCGCCGAGGGCGCAGCCGGCGGCGCAGAGGCCGAGGGCGCTGGCGCGGGCCGGTGCGCAGGCACGGGGTATGCAGGAGCGGGCCGCCCGGCGACGTCGCGAGGCGGCCGCCCAGACGCTCCTGCCGGCGGGCCGCGCGCGGCTGCAGGAGGCGTCGGAGAGCTTGGCGACCGCCGCCCGCTACCGCCACCTCGACAGCCGCCTGCTCCAGCCCTGGAGAAAGCTTCAGGCGGCGGCCGCGCCCAGGGAGCCGGTGGACCACGAGGTCGACGACCTGCTGACGAACTGGGTAGACAGCGAGCTCCTGAGCAAGCTGGCCTAACCCGGGAGCGCCATGATAGACGCAATCAAGTTCTGGAGCCCAGTCGTCGCGAAGGACGGCGGCCTGATCCTGCCGCAGGCGCGCAAAGCTCCGAGGGGCCGGCAACGCCGCGCGCCAGGCATCACCAGACGGCCGCTCCCGCGGGGGGCGGTCGCACTCCAGGGGGCGACCCTGATCAGGCGGGGGTGGTGGGCCGCCTCAGCCTACGTCGCGCTGGCCTTCCACCTGTACCTGCGGCCGTCGGAGGGCCTGGACCCGTTCCTGTTCCTGGTGCCCGTGCTGCGCCTCCTGAAGCAGAGCGCGGGCCCCGAGGAGCTGCTCTTCGAGTTCGGCCAGGTCACTGCCGCGCGGAGGGTCCGAGAGACCGCCGCCCAGGGTGGGCCGCGGGAGCTCAGCGTGGGGCTCTACGAGCTCCGCCACTTCAAGCCGACGCACGACGTGGCGCTGGTACTTCGCACCTTGGCGGAGGTCAAGCTGCGCGGCCGCTGGGAGAGCGACCGGTCCGCCCGCCGCGGCCAGAGGGAGGGGCGCGTCGGGCAGCAGCTGGGGCGCTTGCTGCCCGAGGCGCTCGCAGCAGCGCTGGTGGCGCCGAACCAGCCCGCCAGTCTCCTCGCGAGGCCATGCGCAGACTGCTGGCCCCGTGGCGCAGACGGCGCATTCAGCCGCAGGTGTTTCTGGAGCTGTTCAGTGGCTGCGGCCGCCTCTCGGACGCGATGAAGGCCGAGGGGCATCAAACGCTGTCCTGGGATCTCCTCGACGGGCCAGAGTGGGACCTCACATCGAAGGCGAACCAACGCCTCGTGCGAGGATGGGTCCGCGCTGGCCTGGTGTGGGGGGCACACATGGGCACGCCTTGCAGCAGCTGGACGGTCGCCCGCGACCGAGGGCCCCTGCGCGACCCCGCCTGCCCCAAGCCAGGCATGCCCTCGCGCTTGCGCAGCCGCGAGCACCTCATGGGCCTGCCAGAGCTTGAGCACCCCGCAGACATCGCTCAGGTAAAGATCGGCAGCTCGCTTGCCGCCTTCTCCGCCAGCATGCTGGAGCTGATGCGTCGCTGCAAGCTGCCAGTCACCATCGAGAACACCGAGAGTTCGCGCCTCTGGTTGCTGCCGCGCCTGGGGCGCGTCGAGAGCTGGCCCACGGCGTCGAAGGCGACGGCCCACTACTGCCAGTTCGGAGAGCGCTGGAAAAGCCCACCCGCTTCCTCGGCGACCACATTGATCTCGCCAACCTAGGCAGGCAATGTTCTGGGCCCGTATGCTGTGCGACAGGCCAGCTGCACGTTTCTTTGCACGGGCCGCTTCCAGGAGGAGGGTGGCGCACGAAACTAGCAGAAACATACCCAGTGTCTCTATGCCGCGCCCTGGCCAAAGCTTTTTCAGTAGCAGAATGACAAAAGTTTGTGAATGTGTTGAGCCCTTTCTTCGATAGTAGGTGCAGCTCAGCCATGTAAAAGACCAACCCACCCACCACTGAGATGACCTTCGGCACCGCTGGGAGCGCCTTCGGCGGGCTTGGGGGGACCTCGAGGCCCTCGGCACCTGGCACTAGTTGCACGCCTCTCAGCGGGCCGTGCGTCCGAGTGCACAGTATGCCTGGCGCGCTTGGAGCGGTAAAGCCGCCCCCTGGCTGTGGGGGCACAAAGTGATGAGGCATGGCCGGAGCTTGCGTGTTAATGCAGAATCGCTGGAGACACAGCAGCCGCCATTGAATTGCTTGCACTTCTTTTCCGTACTATAGCCGTCCCGGCTCAGGGACCCACCCGCCCACCCTTGGGAGACCTCGAGGCCCTCGGCACCTGGCACTAGTTGCACGCCTCTCAGCGGGCCATGCGTCCGAGTGTACAGTATGCCTGGCGCGTTTGGAGCGGTAAAGCCGTCCCCTGGCTGTGGGGGCACAAAGTGATGAGGCACACACACACACACATATATATATACATACATACCGGTATGTATATATGTCTGTCTGTCTGTATGCCTGTCTGTCTGTATGTATGCATGCATGCATGCATGTATGTATGTATGCATGCTTGTATGTGTGTATGTTTGTACGTATGTATGTATATATGCGTATGTCTATGTGTATAAATATATATATATATATATATATATATATACATGTGTATGTGTAAATGTATATGTTTATGTACATGTAAATGTATGTATGTATGCATGCATGCATGTATGTATGTATGTACGTGTGTATGTATGTTTATACATATGCATATACATGTACATATGTAAATGTACATATATATATATATGGATGCATGTATTTATATTTATATATATACATGTATACGCATATATATATATATACACGTATGTATGTATATATATATATATATATATATATATATATATATATATATATCGGAGTAGGCCGGGGGGGGGGCGGGCCGGTGCCGTCATCCCCCATATGGGCGCCACCCGGAACCTTTGGGGGGTCGCAGACCCCCTGGGACTGCCCCGGGCCGCTTCCAAATTGCCCACGCGGGCCACGCGGGCTGTACTGATGGTCAAGAAAGCCTCAAAGAGGCCCCGAAGACGCCCAAGAGCGCCCCAAGAGGGCCCGAGATGGCTTGAAGATGGCCGAAGAGGGCCCAAAGAGGGCCTTCACGATGCAAACATCGACCCATTCCCTTTCGTAAAACGTACGTTTTCAGCATAGTCGTTGGCTTCGTCTTCCCAGAGCCCCAGACGCCCCCGCGGAGCCCCAACACAGCCCAAGAGAGACCCAAGAGTGCCCCAGACGGCCCAAAAGGGTCGGCCTGTGGGGCTCCCGGACCCCCCCGAGACAGCCCAAAAAGCCCCAAGGTCGGCCCAGGAGGCCCCCAAGACGCCCTCAGGGAGGCCCAAGAGGGCCTCGTTCGAAATCATGTTCCCGGAAGCCTCTCCAGGAACATGATTTCCGGGTTCCGAGGACGCCCGAAAGGCCCACAAGACAGCCTCAGCGAGGCCCCAGAGGGCCCGAGATGGCCTGACGATGGCCGAAGAGGGCCCCAACAGGGCCTTCAAGAGGCAAACATCGGCCCATTCCCTTCATAAAGCGTACATGTTCAGCATACTCGCTGGCTTCGTCTTCACAGTGCCCCAGACGCCCCCGAGGCGCCCCAACACAGCCCAAGAGAGACCCAAAAGGCCCAAGACGGCCCGAAAGGGTCGTCCTGTGGGGCCCACTGAACCCCCCAAGACGGCCCAAGAGGCCCCGAAGCCGGCCCAGGAGGCCCCCAAGACGGCCTCAGGGAGGCCCAAGAGGGCCTCGTTCGACATCATGTTCGCGGAAGCCTCTCCAGGAACATGATTTCCGGGTTCCCATGACGCCGAAGAGGCCCACAAGACAGCCTCAGCGAGGCCCCAGAGGGCCCGAGATGGCCTGACGATGGCCGAAGAGGGCCCCAACAGGGCCTTCAAGAGGCAAACATCGGCCCATTCCCTTCATAAAGCGTACATGTTCAGCATACTCGCTGGCTTCGTCTTCACAGTGCCCCAGACGCCCCCGAGGCGCCCCAACACAGCCCAAGAGAGACCCAAAAGGCCCAAGACGGCCCGAAAGGGTCGTCCTGTGGGGCCCACTGAACTCCCCAAGACGGCCCAAGAGGCCCCGAAGCCGGCCCAGGAGGCCCCCAAGACGGCCTTAGGGAGGCCCAAGAGGGCCTCGTTCGACATCATGTTCGCGGAAGCCTCTCCAGGAACATGATTTCCGGGTTCCCATGACGCCGAAGAGGCCCACAAGACAGCCTCAGCGAGGCCCCAGAGGGCCCGAGATGGCTTGAAGATGGCCGAAGAGGGCCCGAAGAGGGCCTTCACAATGCAAACATCTGCCCATTCCCTTCGTAAAACGTACATTTCCAGCATACTCGCTTGCTTCGTCTTCACAGTGCCCCAGACGCCCCCGCGGAGCCCCAACACAGCCCACGAGAGACCCAAGAGGGCCCCAGACGGCCCAAAAAGATCGTCCCGTGGGGCTCACAGACCCCCCCGAAGCCGGCCCAAGAGGCCCCGAAGCCGGCCCAGGAGGCCCCCAAGACGGCTTCAGGGAGGCCAAAGAGGGCCCCGTTCCACATCATGTTCCCGGAAGCCTCTCCGGGAACATGATTTCCGGGTTCCGAGGACGCCCGAAAGACCCACAAGACAGCCTCAGCGAGGCCCAAGAGGGCCCGAGATGGCTTGAAGATGGCCGAAGAGGGCCCCAACAGGGCCTTCAAGAGGCAAACATCGGCCAATTCCCTTCGTAAAGCGTACATGTTCAGCATTTTCGCTTGCTTCGTCTTCACAGTGCCCCAGACACCCCTGAGGAGCCCCAAGACGGCCCAAGAGAGACCCAAAAGGCCCAAGACGGCCCGAAAGGGTCGTCCTGTGGGGCTCACGGAACCCCCCAAGACGGCCCAAGAAACCCCAAAGCCAGCCCAGGAGGCCCCCAAGACGGCCTCAGGGAGGCCGCCCAAGAGAGCCTCGTTCGAAATCATGTTCCCGGAAGCCTCTCCGGGAACATGATTTCTGGGTTCCCAGGACGCCCAAGAGGCCCACAAAACAGCCTCAGCGAGGCCCCAGAGGGCCCGAGATGGCTTGAAGATGGCCGAAGAGGGCCCCAACAGGGCCTTCAAGAGGCAAACATCGGCCCATTCCCTTCGTAAAACGTGCTTGTTCAGCATGCTCGCTTGCTTCGTCTTCAGAGAGCCCCAGGCGCCCCCGAGGAGCCCCAACACAGCAAAAGAGAGACCCAAGAGTGCCTAAACGGCCCAAAAACATCGTCCCGTGGGGCTCACAGAACCCCCCAAGACGGCCCAAGAGGCCCCGAAGCCAGCCGAGGAGGCCCCCAAGACGGCCTCAGGGACGCCCTACTTGCGGTGGAGGAGAACACCGGCGACAACTTCGCGTTCCGCCAGCGCCTGCACTCGCTGGACCCAGCGCCATACTACGGCTACGACAAGCTCGGGGAGTTGTGCGCGGTGGCGGTCGCTTACGTGGACGATCCGCCGCTGGGCATCTCGCCCAAGTGCCCGGCCCTGTGCTACAGTTTTCATGAGCTACTGCCGTGGGGCGACTGGGGAGGCTTACTGTTCACATTCTGTGTTAAGCAGGCGTGGCGCGACGACGAGGGCGTTCTACATCTACGACAGACCGAGTGCGCGAATGCCATCGAGGTGATCGCGCTCATCAAGGAGCGCAATACGGAGCTCTCGTCGGATGCGACGGCGGCCGAGTTTTCGGACAACCGCTCCGCTCTCGGAGCGCTCGGACGGCTCTCATCGCAGACTCGACCAGATCTAGCCGCCGGAGTGGCCATGGGGCAACCCACCATCCAGGATTTGCTCGAGACGAATCGACTCATCAAGCTTGCGAGGAAGCACGCGGACGTGACTTTCTTTGCGGGAGCTAAGTTTTTACGCGGAGATCGAGCCCGAGCAGGAATCGTGGATTGGAGATCGCGCGCCCTCGAGCGAGTCTGCAGGTCTACTTTGGCAGCCAAGACGATGTCGGCGGTGGGCGCCCCAGGCTGCGCTCAGATTGCACGCCGTGTTTGCGCTTCGCTGGAGATGTCGGATGCCCATCCGGAGGACATCCCGCCGAGTTTGCTACCGCTTGCTCAGGTCACACATTGCGCTAGCCTGTGCGATACGATGCAAAAATACCGCTACTCCAAGCCCCCGCCAGAGCGGCGCCTTCTGCTAGACCTAATAAACTTCAAGGAGTCCCTCGAGGAAGAGGTCAGCAACGAATTCGCTGCCGACGATCAGCGTAGCCAGCTGCCTCTCTTTTGGGTTCCTACGGGCCAGCAGCTCGGTGATCAGTTCACCAAGAGATCGGACGGCAGTGCCATCAGGGCACTGCTGCGACAAACCCGCCTCGCATTGCAGCATCAGGAGCCGACGGACCGGGCCGGAGAGCACGAGGCACAAATCAAGAGTGCCGGCTCAATCTTCAAACGCGCCGTGCGCCTGGTTGCATCTTAGTTCGTTGACGTGCGACTTACACTTTTGAGTGGTCGAAGCCGGCAGATGCACATATCAGAAGAATGTTGCACTACTTTGATATATATAGTGCCAGTGCTGATGTGTAAGCAGTGTGGCACAGCATACCAGGCAACCAAGCATAGTGTGCGAACGTTTGCCGTGCTCATGTGGGCTCAATCCTCTTCAGGGCCCTTGGAGCTTGGGCGTATCGGGAAGTACCGTTGCAGCTTCCGCTAAATAACCATCTATCGCCATCCATTGCGGATACAATTTGCATCATTGCTGATACACAACCTCGCGGTGATCATTGCACTACGACCCCTCTTCGCAGTATCGGGTCTACACTTCCTAAGGGTAGCGCCGGGACGGCGCAAGGATAGCCGCGCGCCGCGCAGAGCGGGGTACGACGCGCACGGTGCGGCATGTTCATCTCGTGTCGACGCGGCCTCGATCCCGCCGCGGGCGTTCAAGGCTGAACTCCGCCGGTCGGTCGCCCGCAAAACGATCCAGCGAGCGAAAAGCCGTGGATCGTTCGACGTTGAACGGTCCGCGCGGTGCCAGACACCGACGCCCGAACCGTCGCGACACGACCGCGCCCAGGGCGCAGCTGCTGGCCGGCAGCCCGGCGCTCGCAGGCCTGCTGATGCCCAGCTCTCTGCCGTTGCCCCCCCGAGGATGAGGATCGAACAAAATCGCTCTGGCGGCTTCCCATCGGTTTCGGCCTCTGGGGGCCCGTCCCGGGCCGTGGGGCCCCGGGGCCGTCAGAAATCAATCCGAGGGGAAGAAGTGGTGTGGATCAGGAGGGTCCCAGGGGCGGGCTTTGAGCGGATACCGCCGTCAGAGCAAAGGGAGGAGGATCGAGGTTCGAGGATAATAGTTGTCTGCGCGCTATCGGGCCGCCAGGAGACTCGTCGCCACGTGGCGAGGTTCCCCTTGGAGCTTTGGCCCAAACGCACCCCAGGAGAGGTCCCCGTTTCTCGTGCTCCTGCTCCCGGTCGTTCTTTCCATTTCCCCCCAAGAGTTTCCCCTTGCATTTGACCCTTCCTTCCCGCACTTTCCGTCCACGAGGGGGGCGATCGAGTTGTTCAATTACCTGTTCGGCTGCGCATGTGCGCTCCCATGCGCAGCACTCCTCCGTAGCAGAATCAGCTGGCACCTTTTCGTTATATATGGACGCCATGGGCTGCTCGCGCGCTCTACACGTAACGGGGTTCGTGTGGGCCTGTCGTGTGCTTGAGCAATCACACGGCTTCGGGTTGCGCTGTCGATCGAGGTGGTGCCACTGTGTCTTCCGTCCATACAAGCACGCTTACACTGGTTTGGGGCAGTTGATAGGGTAGTCCTGCTCGACACTGTCAACGGTCGTCTTGGTACCTTTCCTTTGACGTCCAGCCCGCACCCTGCCAGCATCCTGTCATCAGGGAGCAACGGTGCATTGTACGCCGAGCCCAGCCCAGACTTGCGGAGTCAAATGGACCAGCACGCCCATGCACAACAACACCGCGCTGTAATTCAAGGCCTGGCCTGCTTATGCTTTCGTTGCTGGGGACAGAGTGTCATACAACGCCTTTGCATCCCACAGCAGTTTCACGAAAGACACTCTGAGTGCATCCAGGGTTTCTGCTTCGACCAAAAGTAGCATGGCTGCTTCAGCGACGAGATGCCCCGCACAGCGGAGTCCCAGAAGTTATTGTGACCATCCTCCCACTAACCGATGAACCAGTTGCGGCACTGATTCCACAAACGGTAGAGGCACCTTGGGGGTCATGGACACCATTCTTGTTGGCCGCATTCCCGTACAAACGAGCTAAGTTGGTCAACGCTTGGCTTGGAAATTGGTGCTGCTCCTCAATTTTCAAGATGCTGGCCAGCTGCCTACTGCGTTCCGCTGGGAACCGCTCCCAGTGCCAAGGGATCCATGGTTATGATGCCTCTCCGTTATTCTTCAGATGCTGTTTTTCACACTGCTCCACCTGCTCACCCGCGAGTGCCAATCAGTCCGACGCTTCAATGTTTCAATGCGACGCTTCAGCGCGTTTAACTTATCTGGCCGAGATTGGGCCTACCGAAGGTAGCTGTTTCCCAGGGGCCAAGAAATTACCCCACCGAGCAGCTTTGAGATCCATGACTGGGATCAGGTCCTTGACCCACTCTTGGGTCTCAGGGTCCTGCTCGTACGTGGTCTGCGGCGCCTGTTGGTCCCTGGCTGAACGCGTGAGCCTTCTTGGCATCGTTCTTGAGGGCATATGGGGGCCACTCAATAAATCCTGCCTTCTTGACATCTTGGACGGCTCCCCCTCCCCATGCTCTTCCTTCCACATCTCCGTCCGCTTGACCTTATTTCCTTCTCCTCCCTCGTCCTTCCACCTCCCAAAGCTTGGCAAACGGTGTGGCTGGTGAGCAGTGTGGTATGGAGTCTGGCTTCTGCGACGGTCCATTTCCGATGCGTGCGCTGGTTGCAAGAAGAGATTCCTTCTGAGAAGGCGCAAGCAGCAGACTCACAGACCAGTCTCGCCTACAATGTCGCACCACTCCGCGCCATTACGGGCCACACCGTTTTCCCGCCTCTGGTCCTCTGATTCCCCCCTCCTCGTCCGCCACCCTCTCGGGGCCGAGAGAGGGGACGCGCCAGGCCCGGTAGACTTGCCTGCGGCGCTGCGGCAGCCATGGCGCCTCGCGGGGCATCGTTGGACATTGATTGAGCAGTAGCGTGAAGGACTATATTTGACACGACAACAGTGCAAGTAGGAGCAGCAGAAGAGGCAGGTGGACTGCATCTGGCCAGCAGTTGAGAAATGATGGCGGACTCCTTAAGGACTAAGTCATTGCCCTTGGGAGAGCAGTGGCGTGGAGGAGGACGGGAGAATGAGGCGGAGGAAGTTGAGAGCTGAAGGAGAGGAGGACGAGGCTCAGGAAGCGGAGAGGGGAGGAGGAGCAGGAGGAGGAGGAGGAAGAGGAGGAGGAGGAGGAGGAGGAGGTGTAAGACAGCAGACGCGTTTTCCTCGGATGAGTTTGACTCAGGCCAGCTGCGGAACGGACGCATTGAGAGAAGCAAGACGAGAGACGCGAGAGATGGGGTCAAGTGCTTGAACTCTTGCACACATCGTCGGGAATAATATCCGCACAGCACAGTGCAGATCACCTGTAAAACCTGCGATATAAGTATAAACGCGCGGGCGGTGTTGGATAGACATGATGCCCCTGCAAATCTCGCTGGAAGTATTTCTTCTCGCGCAGCGCAGTAACATCCTCGATGCGTTTTCTTACGGCGATGCGGAACTTCATAAGTTTGTCAAGGCTCTTCAAGTACGGGAGATCAGAAACGACGTCGTTCAGGACATTGTCTTCCAATCGCCTCTCCTCATACTGCAACGGCGAGCTCGCTGGAGATTTCCCCGTAGGCGAAGAAGAAGAAGACGAGGGACCGCGTCTGCGGCGGCTGGATCGGGAGCGGGCTTACTTTCGAAACTGCTTTCGTCCGTCTGCTTTCGAAACTGTCTGTTCCCGGTTACCCCCAGCATGGGGCGTTGGCGGCGGTGGCGGTTGCAGCGCCTCCTTCCCTGCTCGGTCCGCTGGCACGTCTGGCCATGGGCGGCTGTATGACGAATCTTATTGGCTCGGTACGGGTTCCGCTAGGGCTGCGGCCAGATTTCGATCAATTTAAGATTTCCGGACGTCAAGTACTGCGCCATACGGAATGACAGCGCTTGGTCCAGGTGCTCTGATCCTGCTTTCAATTCAGGCCTTTGTGCCTTGCTGTAAAATATATGAGTTTCGGTGCACGACGGGCGCCGCTTGAAAGCTAAAGCAACATGTTCTGGTATAGTCTTCATTCTGATCGCCAGGCGCAGACAATTGAATCTCTAAGCCGAAATTCTATGGAGACGTACTGGCATCGTTTCGTATACTGCGATACTTGGCTAATGCAGTTAGAAGGTGCTCACGCCACGTACAAATAATTTTCCTCAAGTTCATTCACTCATTCACTTCATTCAAACGTGCTGCATGGTCGGAAAACAACATGGTTCCCAAGTTGCCACAGTTGCTGACGCCTGGCTCCTTCCCTACCCAAATGCGGGATGCATGTGCTGACTGGCGCACGTGCGTACATTTCATGTCAACGCGCTTGCATTTTCAAAGCCTCTGGCGCGAGGCTATTGCAATCCCAGCATACGAACTGGATTTTATGCGCATTCGTACGGGCGCTCCAACACCGAGTTCTGTGAGGATCATCTGCGCTAGCAAGCCTTCGGCTGCTTCAGAAGTGATGGCGCGTAACTCGGTTTCTCCTGAGCTTCGTGCAGTCGATGTTTGAAATCGACGAAAGTTCGCGAGCAAACAGGGACCCCAAACACACATAACCATTAGATGTGGATTTCGGGGTTGTTTTGCACCCAGTCCAATCATAGTTTACATACACAGCAATATCGTCAGTCAGAGTTCAGCCGTTTTGAAAGTGAAGGCGTTCTTGTTTAGATCCATGCATATACCGCATGAGGAGGTGCTTCAGTTTCTTCATGTCCTCTTTCGTGGGTGCCGCTAGCTTTCTCGCAAGTTCTTCCGTCGGGAATCATCGGGCCCCCCTCCCTGTGGGTGTGGTGTGGTGCTGTGGGTGTGGCGTGTGTGGCGTAGTTCTGTGGTGCTTCAGGAGAGCTCCGGAGGTCGTCGTCGTCGCCGCCGCCGCCGTCGTCGTCGTCGGAGGGCTCTGGGGGTCGGTGCCGTCGTCGTCGTCGTCGCCGTCGCCGTCGTCGTCGCCGTCGTCGTCGTCGCCGTCGCCGTCGTCGTCGTCGTCGTTGTCGTCGTCGCAGTCGTCGTCACCGCCGTCGTCGTCGCTGTCGTCGTCGTCGTCGTCGTCTTCGGCGTCGTCGTCGCCTTCGTTGTCGTCGCCGTCGCCGTCGCCGTCGTCGTCGTCGTCGCCGCCGTCGTCGTCGTCGTCGCAGTCGTCGTCGCCGCCGTCGTCGTCGTTGTCGTCGTCGCCGTCGGCGTCGTCGTCCCCGTCGTTGTCGTCGCCGTTGTCGTCGTCGTCGTCGCCGTCGTCGTCGCCGCCGTCGTCGTCGTCGTCGTCGTCGTCGTCGTGATCGTCGTCGTCGTCGTCGTCGCCGTCGTCGTCGTCGTCGTCGTCGTCGTCCCCCCCACCCATCCCATCAGGGGGGAGGGAGGGGCCCTGAGACCCATCCCATCTGGGGAGGGGACCGTGGGCCCGGAGCCCGGGATCATATGTCCTGGCGCTGGGATCGCAGCAACGCCAGTTGCCTCTAACTAGTAGCGCATACCTAGATACTTTACGGCCGATTGCGCATTGAAGCGCTCCCCCCTGCGAAAAAGAACTTGCTTATCGAGCCCATCGAAAAACCTCGTGACACCATCATCTGGACCTACTGTCATGGGGTCGTCTACATGCACGCCCAGATATACGAATCTTCTCGCTCCAAAACAACTGTGGACCATTACGATACCGTTTGAAACCCAATCGTCTCACGAGGACCTCAGCCAGAACATCCTAGGAGTTGTGCGGTGCTTTCCGGAGCCCGTTCATTGCCTTCCGCATTTTCCAAATCCGGCTTTGGTATCGGAACTTCCACGGCTCTGAGGGTCTACAAAGCACAATTTGGTCAATTATATCAGCGCGCATGGAAGCTCATGGTGCAGTTCATTCTCATTCCTCTTGCTAAAACGATTCGCAAACCAGTTGGGGTCGGGGTTGCCGCGAACACGTCGTCCCGGACCTCTGCCCACTTAAAGTCTTTTGCCACTGGGCGTGACCAGACCTCGGTCTCACCCCGTTTCTTGTGGCATTCATCTTGTGTTCATGGGTTGCGTTTCTTGTGCATTCATCTTGTGTTTATGGGTTGCGACGTGGCTTTTTCACGCGTAATGTTTGCCTTCGCTTGTCGGACAGGCTCTGGTCCTTCGCGCAGCGGTTGACCAGCAGTCAGACTTAAAATGGGGCGGATTGCTGCCATCGTTGCAGATCCTCCATCTTCTGGATGCCCCCCCTCAGCCTTCCGTTTCTCCCCCTGTTGTTCGTTGTCTTTTTCGTTTCGCTTTGGGACGTTTAGTGCCACTGCTATGGCTACTGCTACCTTGTCCCAGGTTGGTCGCCGAAGGCGGCCCTTTTGCCCCTAAACCTGACACGTCTGTCGGGCGCCCCCTCGGTCGTTTCCGGCTCTTCGGGGACTCCTGATGGAGTTGGGGTTTTGGCGCGTTGTGCCGTAAGTTGTTTGTTTAGTTAATACGTTCTTCTCCGCACCACCATCCTGTTGTCCTTGCCACCATTGCTGGTGTACTCACTGGTCGTCTGCAGCCACTCAGATTCGAGATGTATAGGATAAAGGAGCGAGCTGGCTTGCGCGCGCGCGAGGGGTCGTCCCCTCATCGTCGTCGTGTCGTCGGCCGGCCGGCCTCCTCCCTACCACATATCTCTCTGATCCGCTTACCGGATCATTCCTTCCTTGCCATGGCCTCGGCGGGCCCCCCTGAGCTTTCCTCATGGAATCTACCTTCGGGGGTAAAGGAGACTACATCGGAACACTTTGCAGGGATAGTCAATATCCAGGCAAAAAACTGGTTACCAGCCGAAACGGCGGCTCAGCCGTTGGCTTCGCTGGACATGGGATCAAAGGAAGGACCGCTCTGAGGAATAGAACGACAAAATTGTCCCGAACGCATTATTAAGGAAGGCGGCCCAAGGGGGTGGCCTCCTCCTCTCAATCTTCCCAGAAGGCAAGCATCGGAGTCTGCGTTTGGTTTACCAGAGGGGGAGTCCCCTGTAGAGCATCAGATAAAAGAAAGAGATCAAACGCCAGGCAAAGGGCACGGCTCAGCCAGTGCCACCAAGAGGCCGTCATAGATCGCATCAGCGCACTCGAGCCCGAGAGTATCAGTTCATACGAACTACGGTGAGAGGGGGCCCGCCTAGAAACGTTCCCACCAGCACAGCAGGTGGAGATCGCTTCATCAACGAGCAAGTAGCACAATGTGTAATGAATGGGCAGGGTGGAGAAGAAAGCGACGGGCAGTCGGAGGAAGAGAATCTGCATTCAATGGAACAGAACGACGAATATGCTCGTTTTCGCGCGTCTTTTGGACCAAAAGACAACCGAAACCATTGAGTTCCCCCAGCGGGTTTCTCAGAAGAGCAGTTTTCGGTCTGCTCCCCGACATCCATGCGCGCATGCATCTGACATTGCCGAATTCGGCTCTCACCAAGAGAACTCTTACCTAATTTCTCTCCTTCGTCGCCTGCGCATGCTTGACACTGCGCAAACTCTTCCGGCTGGCACTGCGGCCCATTTCTCCCGGACGTGGTGTCCGAATCCCCATGGTCATTCGAATGTGACTGGGGCGCAACCTCAGCTGACCTGTTAAATCGCTTGTTTGCCTTGCGTATGCCGTTGAACCTACACTCTGAAGCCCAATGGTTCTACATGCGACAGAATGTCACACCATTTGGACGGCGAGTTTTTTCCGCCAGCCGTTGTGCCGGACGAGTTGCTGGATCCTTACCAGCCGGGGCGACCCACAAAAGAATGTGACTGCCATTGCTGGGGGACCCTTTCCCGTTTCCCAGCGCCGATCTTGCCTCCAGAACCCTTATCTCCGTACTTGATTCCTTGATGATTTGTTTTTCTTCCACCTGTTTTCCATATCTTTCCTCCCGTGTAGAATCCGTTTCTTCCGCTTGTCTTTTCTCCTGCATAGACCCCGTTCCCTTTTCCCGTCTTTCTTCTTTTCCTCTTGGACGTGAGTGGATTGATTTCCATGGGCTTGGCCCTGGACTTGCTGCTTCCTGTGACGAGCGAACAACTCACACCCATACCCATAGGAGGGTCGAGAGGAGGGGAACTGGCTATGGGTATGGGTGCGTGTTGTCGGACCCTGAGGGGAGCTCCCGTTCGAGCGGGGACCCTCATCCGACAACACGCACCCATAGCCTCCTCCGTCCCCCCAATGGGTATGGGTGCGTGTTGTTCGATCGTCATCATGATTCGGCAACGGGATTTTTTCCAGTCTCGCTCTCCTTGGACATACGCTGCAATATTCTGCTTGAGCTCTTCATACGTATCATACAACTCCGTGTTCAATTCAACATGCCATTTCATGCGTTGTGGAATCGTTTGGATACATGTTGTGACTTTCGCTGAATATTGGCACTCCTCTGGTTTTGCAAGGTTATCGTGCTGCTGCTCAAGAACGTCGATATCTGGCAGCTTCTCCGGCAAAATATCCAAACGATCTATGGATAATTCGTATTTCGAGATTGCTGCCATGAGTCCCTTACGTGAGTTTCGGTCTTTGGGGTCATATTGGGCGCATGTTTTCCGCCAGATTTCGAAGCCGTTTCATTGTTCAAGCTTGCGATACACCTTGGCCATTTCTCCCTTGACAAGGCCCACCAAAATGTACGCAAGACTGGCCACATGCTGTTTCACATTGGCGGCCAGCCCT